AGCAGATGGGTATAGTCGCAAATGCACAAAAGCAGTTAATATTTGGGAAGGGTGGTGGCAGCTCAGATCTGAGGCATACATGCCTGTAGGGTTTCACAGGGGTTCCCACAAAGCCTACAGCTTCCCTGGGCCAGATGAATCATCGGCGTGCAGCTCCGTCCCATTCAGCATGTGCTGGCAACATGCTTTGCTTGCATGCTTTTTGCTTGCGTGAGAAAAGCGCGTTAAGTCAGCCTAACCCAGAAATGCTGACTAAGGTGTGAAAATCTTTCTGAGGCTTAAATACTTTTATCAGTGTATTGTGCAAATCTGAGGTGTGGCCCTCTGGCAGAGGTCTGGGTTTGGGGTTTTTTTTTATCTTCTTTTTATTTGGTGATGGCAGAGGCATCATGGAGAGGTGGAGTGCTCACAGACCCCTCTTCTTGGCAGTAACGTGGCACTTGGCTGAAGCGGCAGGGGTGATAACTGGAAAGATCAGATGCATAAACAGGATTTGGCTCTTGTGTCACCCAGTCTGATTCCAGTACTGTTTGAAGGTTGCAGTGCAACTTCTGTTGCTTAGAGGAGTTTGTGGATTTCTTCTAATTTCACTTCCCTATAAGTGCTACATATAGCACACATGGTTTTTGGGAATAGCTGGGTTGAGAAACAGGGGGTTTGGTCCTGCAGACTGTTGTCTTTGAGTTAGCTATAAATGTGATTAAAAGCAGAAATGTTTGTGGGGCATAGGGTGTAAAACTGCTGGGGAAATCTGGAGAGAGAGCAAAGTGGTTGAACAGTTCCATGAGAAGCAGAAACGAATCTGATGTTTCCTGTATTCAGCAAGGGAAAACATCTGGTGGAGGGACCTCGCAGCCCTGCAGTCCTTCTTTGGTGTCCTCTTCACTCTTCAGTTCACTTCATCCCTTAGGTGAACATTTATTGTAAGTGCAAGAGAGAAAATTGGGTTGAAGCTGACAGTGAGAAGGCCATAGCATGCGCTGCAGTGGCCTTCGCGAGGCTGATGGAGAATACCTAGCAGGGAAGGATGGAGGATCGGCAGAGCTAAGTTTCCTCACTTTAGGGCGCAGTAAAATTTCATCACATTATGCCTATCTGGCATGGGCTGGGTTTTGGATTTTGCAGCCCATCTGTTAGAGTAACATCAGCTTAAACTGAGCAAAGTGGTATCACGAGGAGCTAAATATTAAAAAACAACGGACGGCATTGCATATGCAGGATGAGTGGTGGTGGGAGGCTATGACTGTGTGGCCGGTGATATACAAAATCCAGGAACTAGAGAGTGAACAAGCCACAGCCTGCACCAGCAGCTTTGGATGCTGAAGTCATTTTGCTAAGTGCAGTTCTCGCTTGCCCCTGGATGTGCTATGCAGCATCTCACTGTTCCTGTTGGCGTAGGTACCACGGGCTTTGCAACCACCCATCCAGCAGTAAAGGAAATAATTTGCTACTGTAGAAACAAATGATCCCCATCAGTGAGCTAGAGGAGATTACCTGACCAAAAAGGTACTTCAGGAAAAATCCCAGCCCAAGTGATGTTCCTCTTTACTTCAATGAGGCCAGGAGTTCATCCTGCACCTCCATGTAAATGTTCTCCTGTGAAGAAGGTGGCCATTCCCACACCCACCTTTCTCTCCAGGCAACGCCAGTGGGAGCAGCCTGTGCAGAAGTCTGCCAGACCTGAGGGCTACCCCGTGGTGGGAGCTCCATTTCCTTGCACATGTGAAAGCCTCCCTGTGCCCAACAGAGCGCAGCAGCTTGTACGGACACATATGGAAACTCTCCAGAGGAACAAGCTGCCTTTCTAGACATGAATTAAGGGAGTGAGCATGGGAAAGACCAGCAGAGCTAGAGGCTCTCAGAGAGAAGAGTAAACCAGTGTGCTCTCCCTCTCTCCAGATCAGGGATTTCACACAGCAGACACAGTCTAGGCAAGACCACCCAGCAGCCCTCTCTGGATGCCTGCGCAGTTAGCAAAGATGCTAATAGGATACAAGCAGGCATCGATCAGTTTTTTCCTCTGTGCATGATGGGACTTGTGCTTGTCATACCAGGAAAGGCATGTCTGAAACAGGAGCTTACACAGCAGAGAAGAAGCTGGGGCACTTTGCAGAGACATCATGGCCTCTGTCTGGCTTTGTCGCAGAGTCACAAAGTTAGGATGGGACTTCTGGAGGTCTCTTGTCCAAACCCATGCTCAGAGCAGAGCTGGCTGAGTTTCACGTATCTCTAGGGATGGAGATTCTACAACCTCCCTGAAGCCCTGTCCTGGTGTTTGATCACACAGTGAATTTTTTTTTTCCATATAGTGAGTAACAATTTCCCATGGCCATTGGCTCTTATTCCTCTGAGGAAAGTTGTCTGCTTCACCTTTACACCTTCTCACTAGATCCCCCTTGAGATGTCTCTTGTTGAGGCTGATCAAACCCCGTTCTCAGCATCTTCTCATACACTAGGTGCTTCAGCCCCAATCATTTTGGTAGCCCCCAGCTACCACACACCGGTGCATCGATGAAGAACCAGCTGTGGAGCACATCAGCCCGCAGAGTAAGACGGAGGCTCTGGCGCTGTGCAGATGGGTGCAGTAACAGCTCGCTGCCAAGGAGCTGGGTGAGCTGGTGTAGCAACTCATATTCGGCAAAGAGACTTGGTGTACCCCGACACTTCTTTTCATTTTAAAGGCACATGCTACATACATTTAGTCTCAGAAGAGGAAAAAGAAAACGTCAGGATGGGAAGGCAGAAAATGATGGGCTATTGGGATTATGTATGATGTCTCCTGCTCATTTCTGTATCCCTCAACAGGGTAGATAAAGTAATGACTGGACACGCACATGAAGAGATGAGGAACCTGTCACATATCTCTGTAGGCAGCTCTGATTAGTTATCTATCTCACCAGTAGAAAATCAGTATCATGTTTGCAATTGCTTCTGCCCCAGCATCTAGGCATTTCCTATTCATCCCCTTTAATTCTGCTGGTGTCAGATACCACACCTCCAGAAGCTGGAGAATTAAACTGGGCTGCAAGCAAGGGACTGGACAGACTCTGCAGGCAGACTCAGCTCCCAGTTCAAGTGGAAAGGCACTGCAAGAGCTGCTCAGCCCATGGGTGTGCCTGCCTGCTGCAAACAGCCTCCCCTGCGCCGTGCCCATGCCCCGAAACTACCAGCGCTGAGACAGCCCTTCACCTAGCTCACTTTTCCCGTGCAAAACCACAAAGTTTGTTTTCTAATGACTGTGGGCGCTTCTCATTTAAATGTTTTGGGGACAACTAGGCTTTGAACTTTCAGAATAAGAAGATATTTTAAAATGGAGAGCCTGCATTTCTAACTGGCACAAAAAAACCCTCTTTGAGAAATGACTACAAAATAAGAGGCCAGAACTTCATGGCCCACACCACAAACGGCACTCTAGTAATGAGCCATTAGGAGAAAATGTCAGTATGGTCACAACAGCCACCCATGGGGGAGTTTGTTGCAGTTACCACTACATCACATGAAACTCCTTAGGCAAGGACTGTCTCACACCTCAGGACATCTTTATTTCATGCTTAGTCTTGCAAGGCTTATTTTAAACAGAGGCTATAAAAACTATTGCTATTAGTGAAACGTGGACATGCAGGCTGGGATTCCAACCACTTCGTTCTAAGTGTCAGGAGTGGGCGTAGTTATACCCCATCGACGTATACCACTGAGTAATGTGCCCATGCTGTCTTTATAGTCAAAAGGAGTTTTATCAATGCAGTCAGCAGAGTCTGGAAAGCAGTCTGTCTTGTCGTAACGCAGATTTGGCCTGACCTGCATTGGAGCAGGTGCACTGCTCTTCATTGCCTGTATTGGCTACAACTCCCACTAACAGGAGATGTAAAGACCAAGGGGTAGCTATTAGTTGCAGTTTTGTTATCACTGACCTTTCCTTTCAGTCTCAGCTTTAACAGGCTGGTTTGGCCATGTTGTCATCTCCCTGGGCTTCTGCACAGTTATTGCACTCAATTTCCTTCATTTCCTACAGCGAGAGCAAGTAACAGATACTTAAAAGGCCTTTACCCCAACCAGAGAGCAGACCAAATGCAGTAACATCTGCACCCCTCTAGGATTTTTGGTTCCTTGCAAATAGAAATCTTTGCAGAGACTTGAACACCACATCCCGAGGGAGTGCTGAGGAACTGACGGGTGCCCCGAGTTATGGGATGTGCAGACTAGTGAGCCCAGAGGGCACGCACCTGCACCCCATACTCTCTTTGGGTGCAGCCTCCAAGGTAACAAGCCCTGGCTCCACCCCGACTACCTCGCAGCCAAGGCAGGAGCAGTCATGAGATGCTTTGGTGCTTGAGGGAAAGGGTCAATATAGTTTCTCTTCTTTTGCTCATAGGATGATTTTTTAAAAAAACTCATCAAAGATACGCTTGCTCCCAAGGGATGTCCCAGTGCAAACTTTGCTCCTTTGATGCTTTGCTGTCAGCAAGCAACGGCTCAGACCTGGCTAAACTGGGCGTCTTACCACACTTCCACTCTGGGGTTAACATGTGGGGCGGGACTGGGCTCTTGGTGGTGTTGAGAGGCACTGCATGCTGATCAACAGCTACAAGTGAGGTATGGTTTCCTGCTGGGTGCTGCCCAGCAGACGGGGAGAGCGCCTGCATTTCTCACACTGCCATGCACCACTTGCAGAGCTAGGTTAGTCAGATGTCGGTTTGCTGCGGCTTCTGCTGCTCTTTCGATAAGCAGGGGCTTATTCGACCACCCTTGAAATTCTCATTTATTTTTTCTTATCCTAAAGAGCTAATTTTCAGTGAAGTACAAGGAACAGCAGAGTCTGGGCTTTTGTTAGTAACTACCATCACCTCCGCAGTAATACAACTCTCACTAACCCAAATAGTGACAAAATCCCAAAGTGTGCGTGTTGGTGAGGTCTTTCAGTATTTTACCATAGCAGATACTGGATCTCTAACATTGTTCTCTTTTCCCTTTTCATGTTGCCTTCAGCCAGAAAATTCATCATGACGGAAGCATTCACAGAAACGACAGCTGAATACGCTTATGATGAACATGCTTTTTCCTGCAATAAGACTGACATCCAAGAATTTGGAAAAATATTTCTGCCAATATTTTACATTGCAGTGTTTGCTGTTGGCCTCACAGGGAACTTAATGGTGGTTTTTGCCATTGTGAAAGAAGGCAGTAAAAAAAGCATCACTGACATCTATCTCCTGAACTTGGCTATCTCAGACCTTCTCTTTGTGATCTCCCTCCCCTTCTGGGCCTCCAACACAGTGCGTGGATGGACCCTCGGGACTATTCCATGCACAGCTGTTTCCTCACTGTATTACATCGGTTTCTTTGGGGGCATGTTCTTTATCACTGTTATCAGTATTGACAGATACCTGGCCATTGTCCGGGCGACATATTCTCTGAAATCCAGAACAGTGAAACATGGCTCTCTCATAACCTGTGGAGTATGGGCAATAGCGATTTTAGTTTCAGTGCCACATTTTGTGTTCTCCCAGCTGGTAGAAAACGACTGCATTTCTGTCTTCCCCCAGGAGCTGGAGAACATCTGGCTGGTGTTCTGCAATGTGGAGCTGAACACCATCGGCTTTTTCATCCCAGTCTGTATCATATGCTGTTGCTACTGTGGGATCATCAAAACCCTGCTGTCCTGCAAAAATCAGAAAAAAACACGAGCCATAAAACTGATCTTGGTTGTCGTGGTCGTGTTTGTTCTGTTTTGGTCCCCCTACAATGTACTGATTTTTCTAGAGACTTTAAAGCACTATGAGTTATTCACAAGTTGCAACCAAATTAAATCATTGGACTACGCAATGCACCTGACCGAAACCATTGCATTCAGTCACTGTTGTCTCAATCCTCTCATCTATGCCTTTGCTGCGGAAAGATTCAGGAAATACCTCTATCATGTCTGCTTAAAGTACTGTCCATTCCTGTGTTTCTGTGGCCCCTGCAGTCGCTATCAGGTCACCTATTTAGCTAGCTATGCAGAAAGCGCCGTGAACAGCAACATAACCCTGAACACCAGTGACCAGGATGGCTCTGTCTTCCTCTAAAAGGCTCTGTGAAGAAGAAATGTATGTAAATGTTTGCACTGGGACATGATGATCAAAGGTCTGGGAGGCCTGCTGTATGAGGATAGGCTGAGGGAGCTGGGTTTCTTCAGCCTTGAGAAAAGAAGGCTTAGAGGTGATCTCATCACCATGTACCAGTACTTAAAGGGGAGCTACAAAGAAGATGGACACTCCCTGTTTACAAGGAGTCACATGGTGAGGACAAGGGGTAATGGGTACAAGTTACTCCCAGGGAGATTCCAATTGGACATGAGAGAAAAATTTTTCACAATGAGAACAGTCAGTCATTGGAATAATATCCCTAGGGAAGTGGTTGACTCCACTACACTGACCATGTTCAAGACTCAGCTGGACAGGGTGCTGGGCCATCTTGTCTAGACTGTGCTCTTGTCTAGAAAGGTTGGACCAGATGATCCTTGAGGTCCCTTCCAACCCGGTATTCTATGATTCTATGATGATAAATACGTTTTCTGCAGGGCTAGTCACCACTGAGAGATTGCCATTACCCAAATGAAGAGACTGCACTGAATTACAGACATGCCTCCTGTTAAGCATTAAACAGTCTAAAACAATAAAGATTTTAAAACCAAAAGCAGTACAATATGTCAAGGCTACAATTTACAAATGTACATAGACCTAAACTCATTTTTTAAGGGAAGAGAGATCTCTTTAATGAATGTTAGCTGACTGTTAGTAAAGGGGTACATTCTTGATGCTATACGTTCATGTGGAAGCCATTTTGAGGTTACTGACGCAACAAATGTTTTTCCTGTGCTTTCATAGAATCATAGAATTATAGAATCATAGAATCATTAAGGTTGCAAAGGACCTCTGAGGTCATCGAGTCCAACCGTTAACCTAACTGCCTGGTTCAGCTCTAAACCATGTCCCTAAGCACCACATCCACACGTTTTTTGAACAATTCCAGGGACTGTGATTGCACCACTTCCCTGGGCAGTTTGTTCCAATGCCTAACCACTCTCTCCGTGAAGAAATTTTTCCTAATATCTAATCTAAATCTCCTCTGGCACAACTTGAGGCTGTTTCCTCTCATCCTGTTGCTTGCTACCTGGGAGAAGTGACCAGCCCCCACCTCGCTACAACCTCCTTTCAGGTAGTTGTAGAGAGCAATAAGGTCCCCTCTCAGCCTCCTCTTCTCCAGACTAAACAACTCCAGCTCCCTCAGCCGTTCCTCATAAGACTTGTTCTGCAGACCCTTCACCAGCTTCATTGTCCTTTGGACACTCCAGCCCCTCGATGTCCTTCTTGTAGTGAGGGGCCCAAAACTGAACACAGTACTCGAGCTGCGGCCTCACCAGTGCCGAGTACAGGGGGGCGACCACTTCCCTAGGCCTGCTGGCTGTGGTGAAACACCATTTAAGATAGGATGGGTGAAAGCACATGCCAAGGACAATAAATGAGCCACAAACTGGAATCAAAAGGTAGATGAATTATCCAGAATTACAGAAATAAAACCAGAGAATATACTAGACTCTGAATGGTATCAGTTAGGGGAATGGTTACATCAGAAATTAGGCCACACAGGCTGAGAAGCACTTTTCTTTGCAGCCCAAAGCTGAGGTTGGCCTCTAACCAGGAAAACTTGTGACACTATTCTTACAGAATGCCTCCAGTGTAGACTGAAATTGCAAATGGGTCACCCTGCTAAATTACCACCCCTACACATTAATGAAGGAAAAACTTTATGGTCAACATGGCAAGTTGATTACATTGGACCCTTTAAACCCTCCTTGGGATATCGATACGTTCTCACAGGAGTAGAGGTTGTTTCAGATCTAATGATGGCAACTAAATGTCGGAAAACTAATGGTCAGAACACCATTAGAGGATTATCCTCTTGGTTTTCAAGCTTACCAACTCCCGATTTCATCCAAAATGACAATGGCTCACATTTTTCCATCAAAGTAGTACAAGAATGGGCAAAACAGGAGGAAATACAGTGGGTATTTCACAGCCCCTACTATCCTCAATCAAATGGGATGGAACAAAGAGCTAATGGCTTATTAAAACAAAGCCTTAAGCCCCACGAGACTCTTTGGGATACTCGACTCTCCAAAGTACTTCATCAACTGGACAATCGATATGGGCCCACCGGGAGCCCTGTGAGCTGAGCATTCTTTTCAAAAGATGGACTTGATGTTCTACCTCCGTCTTCAGGTGAAACAAAACAGCCGGTAACCAGGACAACCTGTCATGGTAAAGTTACCACAAGTTGGCATTGTACCCATGACTCTAATTAAACCGCGTGGCCCACTTGCCTGGGTGGCTACTGACAGTGGTGGTGTGAAACACAGAATTAGTGCACGATGGATTTTTTCTAATCTTCTTTCTAATGGGGTGACCCATTTGTCCTTCCCCACCATAACTTTTCTCTCTTTTCTCTTGCAGAGTAAATGAATCTACATCAATGGCGACAGCAATAATGGCAGTGCACCCCCATTTGTTCTTACTCCTAATTGGGATAAGTATAACCCTTCCAGTGCAGATACAACCTCTTTAAAAAATAGGGTGCCGAGCGATTAATGGCTCCACCTACAGAAAGCCCGCTGAAATTCAAAAAGTAATTTGGAATAATGCAACTAAATTTGAAAGGGAATTCCAGTCACAGTGGCAACTAGTTAATTTCACCTACGATCCCACCACCAGTAAAACCACAGCTTTTGTTTTGACAATACGCAATGCTTCCGTATACACCATATACCCAATCATTGCGCTGGGGTTAAATCACCATGGAACTGTACTCTGTCCATTAGAACATTGAGTATGGGCCCAACAAAATCGGAACAAATGGCAAACTATTGATGTTGATGCGTGTGTTGTGCAGGAACAACAGGCATTTATTTGTGAAAGTAATACTATTAAGGCCCAAGACATTTGTCTTGACACTGAACAAAATATTTGTCATTTTGAGACACGTCCTAAAAAAACTCCTGAACCTATACTCATATACATTGGAAACGGATGTATTTGCATGAGAACCCTCTGTAATTCTCTATCTGTAGACAACACCACTGTAGATATATATAATCACTCAAATACCTGTGTTTGTAATTTTGCCAAAATCATAGGGTGTGACTTCAACTATTCAGCTCCTGTCACAACCCATCAATTGCTGCAATCCAAATACATGTCATATCAAGATTTATTGCCTGCCCCCATCGGAATGAATCTGATGTTGGTAAAAGAACTGTTGCAACAGGAGGACCTGAGTCAGTTGCTGAAACAAATTCAGGACAATGGACAAAGAACCCTGATCACCGTCCATTATGATACAGAGAAGATGATACACTGTGTCTTGGAAAGAAAGTGAAGAAAGATGGAGAGCATCACTGGTTGGATACCTTCTTCGGATGGTCCCTAACAGTGACCGGGATACTGAACAAGATGCTACACCCTACTGTGATTAACTCTTGTTATACTATGTTTGTTATTGAACGTTTTCCTATATGCTAGGTTGTGGGGAATAGCTAGACAAATAACATTATTACAAAAACCTCCTCGTACATATAAAATTGCTTAGCTACACTTAACTAAATCCTAGTAATCAAGGAAACCAACCAAAAATTCCCTCAAAATTATAATTGGAATAGAACATGAGTCTGTTTATAGGCACAGAGGCAAGAGGCGACCACACCGCCACTCTGTGAGAGAGATGGATTGACTTTAGTCATGGGGCGGATTGTGGTGGTGCATCCCACCCCCCTTTTCTTCTTGTGCACCTGGCAGAGCATGGGAAGTGAAGCTGCTTTACAGCCTCAGTAACTCCCATCAAAACTTGGCCTTTGTGTAACGAGTTTGGCGGTTAAGTGTCCCCTGACTGTATCAAAACTCTTACATGGCTGAGGTGGGAGCAGCACTGTCTGT